AAGGGACGAAGATTAGAGGTGTTACAAGTGAGTAACAAAAACAAAATAGAAGGAGGAGAGATAAGAACGAAATATGTTTGATAGGAAAGAAGGAGAACGGTAAAAATGTGTCCGGCACAAACTGGTTATACGTCATTTTCAACACAGCAGGACTTTCAGACAGGCGTGGCTTGATGTTCTGGGTACATCTCCGAGACTGAGAGGAAAGGAAAGGTGGGAGGATTTCTTTCTGAGATTGAGACAAGAGAAGCGCGGAGATACAAGAATGGTCATAAGACGAGAGGTAGAAGCAAGATGTACAGGCAGAAACGGGAAGACGTGGAATATCATCAAGAGTTTAGCCCAGGATAGAGAAAGGTGGAAGGTGTTTGTCCGTGGCCTATACCCTGGTGCAGGGTGAGAAAGGCAATGATGATGATGACAGGTAGAAACAACACAGGGAAAGAAAAAAAAGTCAAAGGAGCTACCAGTGACGCTCTCCAACTATTGGCTATACCGTAATCTGCTGGACCACAGGACTTTCTTCAGTTTTGCCGGGTTTTCTGTCTAGAGAGGTCGCTCAAACAGAAGAAAAAAATCGGAAGGTTGTATATTCTTTCACTTTATCGCTGTTTTCGGATTTACAGTGTTCATTCAGTTTAAGCGGACTCCATTTTGATCAAAATGCCAAACAAACATAACGAAATTGAGGCATTCAAATGGCATTCCATCACATTCGTATCAATCTAATCTGTCTTGCTATGACCGCAATTCCCGATATCTGTTTATGTCTCCGTATAGATCTATATCATGTTGACGCCAAGCTGGGGAAAAAAATCCTTTTTCCGTGAAATGAGGGAGTGTGGACAGAGTGTAGCTCTCAGCCGGCCAGTGGGTACATTATGACGTCATAATGTTCTCTCATCTCTACACGACATGTCGTCTGGCCACACAATACAGGCTGCTCTTTTGCTTCTTCTTTCCTATCAAACGTCTATCGTCTTTATCTCCCCTTCTTCTTTTTTATGTTTGTTACTCTCTTGTAACACTTCTGGCGCTCATATGACCGAATGCAGTTGTGAGCACCGTAAAACCTCTACTAAAACAAAACATGCTGCTCTACTGCATCCAATGGCACGTGTGTTTTGTTTTTATTTGTTTGTTTGCTTGTGTGTATGTTTGTATGTTTATTTATTTGCACGTTTGTTTGTGCGTTTGTTTGTTTGGGTTTTGTTTGTTTGTTCGTTTAGGTCTCTTTATAAATCGTTATACGTTTTTACGTCCCCATCGGATCGGCACAATCCAGATCATATAGACCATGGGCAGAATTTAGGAAGTGCATTTCGGTCCTGCCTTTCAGAGACAAATCGGCTTGACCAAAAAACAA